AAAAAAAAAGCAAACCCCAAACACACGGAGGGATGAAGACTGATCTTATCGGCATCCCTTTCCCCTCCGGTTTAGGAAAGGAGAGAGATGTCGATTTCACACGAAATCGAGCCGCTCGGGTGGATCGCGGCCTCGGCGAGGCGGTCCCCCCGCTCAGCCCGCATCGCCCAAGTAGCGCGAGACGAGATGTTGGTGGAGGTACGCGGGATTAAGGCCCTCGCCGGTGGCCCGCTCGATCAGCTCGTCGGTGGTGTAGAGGCTGCCGTGGTCCCAAATCTTTTCCTTTTGCTTCGCCAAGATGCACTCGAGGTCGCCTGTCTGGAGGGCGTTCCGCAGCTTTTCCTCCCCGAGCTCTTCGCGAATCGTCGCCATGAGCTGGGCCGCGAACATCGCCCCGATCAAATACGTGGGAAAGTACCCGATCGACCCGAGCGACCAGTGGATGTCCTGCAGGCAGCCCCGGTCGTCCCGCCCGGCCGTCTCGAGGCCGAAGTATTCTTTCATTTTTGCCTCCCACGCCGCGGGGACGGCCTCAGGCGGGAGGCCGCCGTCCACCAAATCCCGCTCGATCTCGTAGCGCAGGATGACGTGAAGAGGGTAGGAGACCTCGTCCGCGCCGACCCGAAGGAAACCCGGGCGAACGCGGTGGACGGCGCGGCGGAAATTCGCCGGACTAAACCCCGCCTGGGGCCCGAGGTGGGCCTCGAGTTTCCCCCGCAACACCTCCAACAACGCGGGGTCCCGAGCGAGCTGGAACTCGGCGAACAAGGACTGGCTCTCGTGGGCCCCGAGGGAAGGGGCGGTGCAGATCGGTTGCGTGAGATGTCGGCGAGGCCCGATGTTCTGCTCGTATTTACCGTGCCCGACCTCGTGAACGACGGCGAAGAGACTTTTCAGCGGGTCCTCCGCGGCGTAGGCCGTCGTCAGGCGGCAGTCCTCCTTCGTCATGCCGGTGAAAGGGTGCGGACTACTATCGAGACGGCCCGCCTCGAAGTCGAACTTCCACACCCGCATCAGATCCCGCCCAAGGGCCGCTTGCCGGGCCTCGGGAAAGGGCCCTTCGAACGGAAGGATCGGGGGGGTTTCGGCTGCTTGTTTCTTCACCACATCGCGCAGAAGTCGAGGGAGCCAGGACTTCAGGTTCGCGATCAAGGCGTCCATGCGGGGGATGGTCAGGCCGGGCTCGTAGACATCCATCAGGGCTTCATACGGCGTCCGCGAGGACCCTGCCGCCAAAGCCGCCCCTTCCTCCCGCGCAATCGAAACGAGCGCCCTCAAAATGGGAAGGAAGTCGGCGAATCGGTTCGCGGCCCGGCTTCTTTTCCACACCCCGTGGGCCATTGTGGTGAGCTTCGCCTTGCGATGCAGAAACCCCTCCGACAGCAGGTTCATGCGGCTCCACAGCATCGTCATCTTGCGAAGGTTGCTGCGCTGAACAGGCGACAGCTCGTCCTGCCCTGTGGTGGCTTCATCGATCCACTTTTTCACCTCGGGCGCCGTGATGGACTGAAATTCGATCTTGTTCAGCAGCGAGATGGCCTCCCCGCGGGCTTCCTGAGCTTTAGGGGCCATATACGTGTTCATATCCCAATGACAAAGCCCAAGGACGTGTTGAAGACGATAGATCGTCGTGAAAAGCGACTCCAACTGGTCATACGCACGCATAGGTTGTCGCTTTAGGACGGAATAGCACTTTGGTGTTACCCTAAAAGAAATCGGCTGATAATAATGTTCCTTCACTAAAATCTTAAAAAAGAATTTCTGGGTGTAAGAGCACCAAATAGACCCATCGCACATTTCTTCCGTAGTTTCCCCCCTCCCCCCCTCTCTCTTTTTTTTTCTGACGTTGGACGATATAGCCGTCAAGCGTCAGATCACACAAACTTGTCTTTATTTACGATGATTAATCAGCACCCCAAGAACTTTATTTTTTCTCCGCGTTGTTGTTGTTGTTGTTGTTTACGGTTTACTCGAATTATTGCGTCCCCCTTTCCCATTGTATAGGTGACGCCTGGGCCATTACAAATTACACACGATGGCGCCCCCCCCTGTCCTTCCGATTTGTGGTTCCCCCCCCCTCCCCGCCCGCTTTCTTTTCCTCACTTCGACTTCGAGGCTTTGGCGAGGGCCTTGGCCTTTTCGCCCTTCAGGGATTTGGTTTGGATGACCTTAAAGCGATGCAAGGCCTGGCGCGTGTTGCGGCGGTTCATGTAGGTGCGGTTCAGCGGGACGTAGGCGAAGGGCTCGATGGCGCCGGACTTAATATCCCCC